TTTTGACTCAGTTAACCTCACCTCATTTCAACTTAACCCACTGCACTAATGTTATGTCACCTCAACTCACCTTAACTAACCTTAACTTATCTAAACTCACCTTACCTGAACTCGCTTCACTTCAATTCAGTTCACCTTAACTCAACACATTTTACCTGAATTCACCTCAACTCCCCTTAATTTTAGTGGTTGAATTTCAGCGGCTGGGCGAACGCTGGTATAATAAATTCTATGGCTCCAGTGGAAAACCGAAACGTTTTTGTTGATGTGCACTAACATACATACATACATAGATGTAAGTATATGCACTTAAGTGCTAAGATTCGATTCTTTTAATAGGCTTTTATTATACTTCAAAATCAAAAAAAAATTAAATCAAAAATTTAAACCTTAAATGCAATCACTTGCGAAGTCTGTCCATAGAAATTATGTTAAGAACTCATATATTTTTTTTTATTATTTAGTACCCAGCTAACCTTCCATTTGAATTTGCATCCGCCCACTACTCACCATTTATGAAGCAATCGATCGCATTTGCATTGCCGCTAATTAATTGACCGTTTTATGCCGCTTTACCTTAGCTAATTACTTGTCACCTCCGTTTTCAAACATATTCAATAACCAACATAGTTGCCAATTCGCTCTGGGCAATGGACTGTTATCATAACAAATGATTTGCATTTAATCATACGCTTGCCGCCAGGGCACACAAAGCGGCTGTCAATGCAGAAGTCAGTACGAGTACTTACTATTTATTAAAGATGCAGGAAGGCGCACCTGAGATTATATGCGAATTATTTTAACAACTTTTGGCGCCTAAGAGCATACAAAGCATCATGCCGAGCGACAAAGGTTAGACTGAGGTATTTGTGTGGCTGGCTTTGGGGTAGGGGTGGGTGTGTTACACAGTAGTACTTTGTAGCAACGCAGGCATGTGCCACTACTAAGTGTCAACAACATAAAGATTATGAATGCATACATACATACAAATTTGCCTGAGGTTTAAGGTAGTAGTAGAATACTAAATATTCTATTCTCTTTCAGAAATTTGCATTTTTATTCACTTCACGGCATTTGTAATTAATTTATTGTTGCCACATTGAAAAATTAGCGCACATTTCGTATTATTCGTGGCTTCGTGTAGTGCACGTACTTAATTGGCTCATAGTTTATGTATTGTCGCCATGCGTTGATGTTTTTATGTTAATGTTGACTTTGTCATAGCTGGAATTCATAGACAAAGTAACGTTATTCAACACCTTGCAAAATTTATGGCCAGTTCTTAAAAAAATATTGTCTCGAAATTTGCATACTAGCAGTGTTTATATATATATATATATATATGTATACTAAGTATATATCAACTTATACTAGCTATTTTATATGACATTTATAAGCACATTTACGTTCAACTAATTTGAAACTGCTGACATTTGTTTGGCTATAAAAAATAAAGTAATTAAATTGTAATTCAACAAAGTTTGGCTAGTGTTGGGAATTATTTGTGCAAAAGCTACTAGTTGACTATTTCCATCTAACTAGTGCTAGTTTGTCTTCGAGGGTTACTGTCTGTAGTATAAAATACAGTGGCAGTGTATTTCTGACAAAAAGCGTTCTTAAAGACACTTGCAGTACAAAAGGTTCTTTTAACTTGAAGTTAACTGATCAAGAGAAATTAGGAATTTTAACTTAAAGTCATATCATTACATACTTCTGAGGGTTAATTCCGGATAATACCCGTAGAATACTGGCGAAATTTTACCGTTTTTTTTCAATTTTTTTTAAGGCCCCGAAGATATTATTAAACTAAGCTCGTCGAGTATCTTACAACGCGCAAAGGTGCTAAAACCCCTTCTCTATACTATATTTTCACTTACTATATTTTCACTTAAATAATTTATTAACCATACAGTTTATTAACTACTACTCAGTAAACTATGTTTTATGTAAAACTCTTTCAACGTTAGACAATTAATCCAACCCTGGTCTAAAATATTTTTCAACCAATTTTGAAACCATAAAAACTCTCCTTAAGGAAACATAAAAATCTAAAAATTAAAAGAAAATTAAATTAAACCATAGAAAAATAAATAAATTGAATTTATCATCTACGTTCCTAAAAATTAAATAAAATTAAATAAAAAAATAGAAAATAAAAAGAAAATAAAATTCAAAATGAAAAATGAAAAATATAAAATAACATACGTTTCCAAAACGAAAATGAAACCAAAAAAATATAGTTTAAAACACTAAAATCGAAAAACTAAAAAAAAACTAAATTAAAAAAGAAACAAATGTAATCAAAAAGTACATAAAATAAATTTCTAAAAATTAAAAAAAGAACTACAAACATCCTTCTATGTAAAACAATATGTAGAGTAAAAAAAATAAAAAAATTAGCAAAAAAGACAAAAATATGTTTCTGAAAGTTTAATTAAATTCGAAAAATAAAATTAAAATTAAAATAATACAAATTTAAGAAAACTTTAGTTATAAAAACAAAAAAGTAAGTAAGTTCTTAAAAACTAAGTGAAATTAGAAAAAATAATTTTCTATTTAAAACAAAAAATCTAAAAATTGGGGAAAATTATATTAAAAGAAAGAAACCAAATTAAATATATATATATTAATAGAAAATTCTAATGCAACAAAAAATAAAGGAAAAGCATCCGCTGCTCACTCAGCCATTGTTACTTTTGGAGCAGAGCGAGCAAAATGTTATACATCTCCATTTGGAATATGCTCAAGAGCTTTTCACTACGAAAGTCGACAAGAGAGCTTTTTTGTAAATACTTCGTCCCAGAATGAACAAGATCTTTCAAACTATCTTGCCTACTGTCTGCAAATACTCGTATCTTAGCCAGAATTGACCTGTTAGTCTTTGTCTTCCTATTCGTCTTCATATAAGTATACGTATTCATCTTCGTTTTCATCTCTGTATTCGTGTTCGTCTTCCTAGTCGTACTC